CCTTTGCTTGCACAAAAGTGCCGCTTCACCAAAGAGATGTCGCAAGCACTACAGGCAGTAAATCTCCCTCAGTCGACAAGGCTGGGACACGGTCAGGCCGGGACACGGTCGGGACGGGACACGGTTGCAACGGGACAGATTTCACGGTCAGAATGAGGTCGTGGGCGACATTGGGCCCCCTGAACTTCTAGAACTTCCTCACGCGACCTGACATTCGACCGAAGCATTCTGCCCTTTAGAGGACAAATATTTTCCTATACTACCCCTAAATTTGGCAGCAACTTACCGTGTGTCCAAACCACCACCCAAATCTGCCGCCTCGGTGTAGCGGGACTCCGCCGCCGCCGTTCACTTCTTCATGTTCTTAAATAAAGGCAGGGTAAATGGTTATGGGCCCCCGCCTGCTACTTCCGTATTATTTTTTAATAGTTTGCTTTGCGTCGCACGAGCATAGACTGTTTTTTGCATTAGCTATACAACGACTCGTTTGACGTGCTTCCTGTGTGTGATATAAATGCTATCATTTCAATATTCGCTGGTAAAGTATGTGCAACGCACTTTTCGGCTGGCTATTAAGTGTGTGCCGTCCGTCCAATTCGGATGCACATGGTTCTGGCGGCGTGAAATTTATCTTTTGGCGTATCTTGCGGCATGTTGCCATTTCGCTCGGTGCGTATGCTTGGTGGTGTTGTCGGTGACTTCACAGTTTGTTTGGATGGTCGGACCAGCATATTCGTGCATGTGTGCTGCAGCAGACGCATGGGTTGCTGTCGAAAGGCACATGCCCTTTCCTGTTACAGGTAATGCGGGATTCACAGGTTGAAGAAGACCATCAAGCAGATGCTCCCATCCTTTAGGAAGAAGACCAGCAACGACAAGTCATAAACGGAGACTAATGCGGACGAATACCGACATCAACGTAGAGATACAGCAAGTAGACTTGAGGGCGTGGGACTAAAGACTAAGCCTTTGCCTGGCGACGTGACAGCGTGCAGCCTGGCTGACGACCAGACCATGCAGAAGAATAAGAACAAGACAAACTGATCCATTTCATGTATGCAAGACATAACGGCTATGAGAGCAGGGACCAGTACGAAACATTAACTATTAGCTACACAGTTGTATACTCAGCTAACTTACCGCAACCAGCCCATTTTCGTTGGAGCAAATCGGCAATAAAATCACGCGTTCTTCATAGGTTCATAATTCAGTCTACCTGTGATGATAGGTTGTGTATAGTTCACGTTTGGTGAATGTCATAGTCATATAACTTGCGATCAGCATTGCAGAAGCGTAGCAGCATGAGGCCGTCATCTACCACGCAACAACGTTTATAACATGACGATGTCGCTCCGTTGGAGTGGGAACACACATGAAGCACAATGCAGGATTGTCTTTTGCATTTTAGGTTGGCCAGTCCTGCAATGCAATAGGCAATCATGCACCACTGCAATCAACATTTCATGCCTGCTGCGCTGGCCAAGCTCGCAGTGCATTCATGTCTTGACTGCTGTGCATGCTCATCATCAGGTATTCACCATAGCTTCACGAAGTCGTAGTATGTGAAATGCCCATCATGCACCAGTGCGTATTTATTGAAGTATTCATACTTGCATGCGTTGAATACCCGCCAAACCTCACGTTGCAGTATGGTTATGGCGACTATGCATTGAATAATCACCACAGAGATCCAAACCATTCAACGAAACTTTCGAATGCTTTTGCTGCATATAGGGTTGCATTCATACAGGTGTTGCCGCAAGACATGCATGCGTACGGCAGTCAGCCGCTCACTGAACCATCAACCAACGAACACTCTTAACCGACAAGAATACATAGCTATTTTTCAGCCTAGCATCATTGCACATGCATGTCTGTCACATTTGTTCAATCTCTACGCTGTCCGTGACGCATTTGTCGGTGCAGCAGAACCACCAGCACCATCTTGGGATTGTCCGCCACCCTTGTCTTGTAGGTTGTCATTGTAGTGATAAGTTTTGCCGTTTGTCTTGTTGCCACCGTTGTTGCGCTTCGATATGAGCGCGGCAATGAGTGTTGACGGTTGCGCCAGTGTCATGACGTCTAGCTGCTCTTCTGTGATTCGTTGACCCGCTTGGTTCGTCAGTTTCTTGAGTAAGTCTTTTTGTGATGACGTTGCAGCCTGTGCTTTGACGGAGTTCTGTGAAATGAGTGCCAACGCGTCCCTCTTGGATAGTGGTTGCTGTGGCAGCTGTACGTTGAGCCTTTGCAACCGAGCAAGCTGTGCTGCAGTGGCCTGCTCTCCTGCTGCATGGCTGTCCATAAGCTGGCTGGCCTGGCTTTTGGTCAGTTTGTTGATTTCGTCCATGGAAAGTCCGCGCGAGTGAAGCACTGCTTGTTGCCAGCCTGATGCAGGTTTTTCATTGTATTTATTCTTGAAGTCTTCATAGTTTGCTGACCTGTTGCTTAGGAGTCTTGAGCATTCTCCTATTGTGGTAGGCCAGTGGTAGGCCAGTGACATATCATTAAGGTATGCTTCTTGTTTTGGGGTTCGTTTGTTGTCCGGGTGTTGGGTGGTGCGACATTGTGTTGTGATGCTGGTGGGTGACGGTGTGTGAAAACCAAGGCTTTGGTACTGCTGGACGGATAGTCCCATAGCTTGAGCCTGGGACTGATGATTAACAGGTGTTGTTAAAGGGTTGACGGTTGGTGACATTGCAGGTGGGACATGGGACAGGCGTCTAAGGTCATCATAATGCACAGTTTGTGAGAGGCAGGAAGACAGTAGCAGCAACAACAAATGCAGGCTCAGCAGTAGTATGAACCATGGTGCTTAAGGGGGTACATGTGCCTTGAACATGTGTTGTGTCAATTGGATGTCGATGGGCAGGATGTGCAGCTGCTCAATATCCACAAATCGTGACAGTGCTACATATGCTTGCCCTAGTCTGTTCATGTTTGTAAAGTCAATAATGACGGGATCAGTAATGGTATCGCCCTGCACCTTGTGTACAGTTCTTGCAAACACAGGCATGACGGGGAACATTTTGCGCTCAAGCTTGGCACCATTCTTGTATTTGACCTCGCATATCCTTGGCAGGCGGATTATGGATTGGGAGTCCAAGAGCTGGAGTGACAGCATGGATTCAGTGATTTCTTGCACGATAGCTAAAGCACCGTTTTCGATTTTTGGGGCTGACAGGTTTTTGGTAACCATGACCGTCATGCCAGCGAGGTAAAGGTGTTCTAAGAGCATGCCTTGGTCTTGCATTGCTTTGTACAGATAAGCTACGTCATCGGGCGTATACCTATTTCCTTTGTGAAGCTTGTCGGCAGCTGTAATGTGGTACAGCTGTAGTACAGCTGTAATGTAGTCAATTGCAGTGCTATCTTTTATCATAATAAGCATGATTGCTTATTTAAAAGCTATAATGAACAGAGTGAATTGGCCATTAATTAGGTATTGTTCTGCACAGTAGTCTTTGGAATTTTTTAAACATGCCACAATAATAAGTTACAGGCTTACCGGGGTTATGCCAGAGCTTAAGAGCTGAGCGAAGTATTCCAGCGCAGCTTGTGGTGGGGGTGGTGGAATAGCTCCGGAAGGAGGTTGTGGAAGCGCATTTGCTGGTGCGACTGCTGTTGGTTGTTGGCGTTTGGTAATGGTAGGAATTGCGGGTGCAATGCGCCGACAGATGCTGGCTTCATAAGCCATCCATTTTGAGCTGGCACGGTATTAGGTGACTAAAGCAAGTCATGTTGCTGCGTCTCATCGAAGGATAAAGTAGCAGCGCCAGCGATAGTTGGTGGATGCTGGTGTTGTACTGCTGATAGAGGAGAGGTGGCGAACGGTTGGACCATTTGTTGGATTGCCTGTGAGGTCGTCGCCGCTGCAGAATTGTGTTGCTGTATTGACGGTGTGGATATGCCAGCAGTAGCAGTAGTGTCTACGGCCAGCAAATCAGGATACAACTCGGCCGTAAACTCGTCGACACGTCTGCGTTTCCTCTGTTGGTTTTCATTGGTCGCAGATGTACCTGTTTTGACGATGTCATCAGTAAAGAGGGGTTTATTGCAGGTATTAAAGCTTGCCAGGACAAGCGACCAATATACCGTTCATACATATTCTTATTGCGAAAGGCACGATACCGTAGTGCTACTTATAGTTCGTGCTACAATAATTCGGGAGGCACCACGAATATGTAGCACGTACAAATTCTAAGGTATCCCAAGGGACCGCAGCCCCGAAATATCGTACCCTCCGAAGCCGGTCGATCAAACTTCGCAAAAACTAGGATTTCAAGCCGGAAATCAGCTCTTAAATACATAAAATATAGTCATAAACGTAGGACATGAACAACGCTGGAAAACGTGCAAGACAGGCAACCCTGCTTCAATGCGGGATGAAATCGCTAGCACCAAACGCTCCGGTGAGCGACCGAGCTGGATTTGCACAAGTTAGGCTTGATGGTGCTGTTGTCGAGGCCCAGCGTGAGCGAATGGAGCACGAGGAGGTTCCTAGGCGCGAGCGCAATGCGGTCAATGCTGTACGGCAGCCGGCGAGGCGAGGCTTGCGCTCACGCCGCAGCCTGGCATTCGACCTGTTGGACGTCCGCTTCAACAAATCCGCAGGTCAAACATGGCTCGGCTGCAGTTTGAAAAGCCCCGAAGCTTTGGAAGGGGCCCCGAAATTTCTGTCATGCCCGCAAAATCTGGTCCGGCCTTCCCCGAAATTCAAAGAGCACGTACAAATTTCAGAAAGTTTTTTGACCCCTCCCCGAACAAAGCGATCACGAACTATAAGTAGCACTACGGTATGTAAAAGAACACGTGAAATGGTTATTAGTACAAGACACTGAGAAATATTGGTTCGCGATCAAAAACAGTTACTGGACAAATGCTTTTGTACGCTTCGGAAATTTTGTACGATTCCACCACAACATACTAGAGGTTAACTTTATTGATAACTCACACGCATGTCTGAGACGTCCTGAGAAGAGAATTTGACGCCTAGCTACCTCTCAATCCCGGGGATGCTGTCCGCGACCCTTGCGCTTAGTAGTAGTAGTCTTAGTAGTCTTAGTAGTAGTCTTAGTCTTAGTAGTAGTCTTAGTCTTAGTAGTAGTAGTCTTAGTAGTAGTAGTCTTAGTAGTCTTAGTAGTCTTAGTAGTAGTCTTAGTCTTAGTAGTAATCTTAGTCTTAGTAGTAGTCTTAGTCTTAGTAGTTTTAGTCTTAGTAGTTTTAGTCTTAGTAGTCTTAGTCTTAGTAGTAGTCTTAGTCTTAGTAGTAGTCTTAGTCTTAGTCTTAGTCTTAGTCTTAGTGAGATGGTTATCCCATATGAAGAAAAAGTACAGTTTGTATTCGTTTTCTTGCCTAACTGTTGCACGTGCCGGGTCATGTTTCATGCATGTCCACCAGCAAATCCAGCTGGGCATGGACAGCAACCATGTACTTGTGGATTCGTTATGTTTAGTAGTATATAAACATTTAGCATGGATGATATTTAAATGTGGTTTGTGGTGTCAAGTCGTGTATTCCTCATGTGGTTCGGTCTGCCCTGGGGCTGCTGAGCCAACCCCCCTTACATCCCGGCTTGTTGAACATTTGGAATGATTTTTCTTTCCTAGCACTTTGTAGCCCCATGTCATCTTGGACTTGCAGCATCATATCAGGGGTCCATTGGCTATGGTAGCATGAGCACTGTGTCATATTTTTAGCATGTTCTTATTGCCCTATGGCATAAAACGGGGGGTAATCCCCTCTTAAGTATAACCCAGGGCGTAGGGGTAGGGGTTACCCATGTGGCTATGTACGAAGGGAGGTGGGTAACCTAACCCCGGGGTAGGGGTAACCCCTTATCGAGGGGTAACAAAGGGGTCGGGCTAATACACTACTGATGGGTAACAGACAGGGTAACCCATGTTTACATTCACCTGCGCCTGTCTACACACGCAAACATACATGTCTTCACCAATCACTTGTGAATGCCCAATTATCAAGATTGCTGCACCAAAACATGCCTTGTTTAGAAACCTAAACCTAAGGATATGGCACACAGCTGCAGCCTAGATGCAAGGAGGCGGACGAACAGGCGTACATAGGCGGAGCAAATTGGGGACCACGAGAAGCCGCCAGCAAAGCTAAAAATATTCCTATCAAAAAATCCAGGCACTTATCGCTGCTGCTAAAACTTGCAGAGCAGCCAATGGGCTGCAATGTAAGGTCGGCCAGTAGCTTAAGTGCTCCGTCTCGACCTGCTAATTCCAGCTCTACACACGACCTATGCAACACTATCCAGAGTCTGCTCGTTTTCAGAGCAGATTCTCCTAAGAGTGTAGAGGGGTCGCGTGGGTGGGAGATCCGGATGTTTGACCCCGAACACGGTCACACCCGGCGAAGTGTAAGGCGCCCTTCCGGGTAAAAATCCTCGGATGTCACTGGATGTCTTGTTAAATGAGGTGCACCACAAGTGTGGGCCTGTGCTGCAGAAAGAGTCAACGGTCTTGTCGTGGTGGTCTGCACGTGCAAACGATAGAACACCACCATTTTTGCCGCCATACGCACCAGTATTGCAACGTGGATTATAAGCGTGCAAAGTATGTATGGTCAATAGGAACACTGCTGGCAGTGAATATGATTGACTGAATTGGTGATAGTGGTCATCGCGTTTTTTAGCATGTCCGTCTAGTTAAAATACCAGCCATGAGTGTGCATTACATGAGCTTACAAGCAAATTAGCTGTGATTAAGCTTGGATGTGCTAATATGTTGGCCGACCTCAGGACTGATTGCCTGTTGTTTTCACAATGCAAACTATTATATAACAATCGATGACAACCAAAGGCATCCATTTAGTGAAGACCTGTCGTCGACTTGTGTATATGCTGCCAGCATTCACGCCTTCCCCTGTACTCATCTACAAGCTCCTGTTTTACAGCAGCCAAATAGGCCATGAGATAGGTATTTATTGCTTATTCCTTGCGTGTGTGATGCCAGCATTAGAGACCTTAAGGTTGAACTGGCAAACAATGCTTCCCAAGATACCACAATACTGTAGGTTGCTAACGTTTACATTTTAAAAAGTATCCTTCAGCGGAATTTACGGTGTGGGATGCATATAAGACGAGTAGCCTATAGGCCCATACATATGTCCACAATCCAGGGAAACGGAGGGGTTTACCCTGGGGTCATGTTACCCCTCCTGCTGGGTAGGAACTTACAAGGGGGTTACCAAAGGGCTACCGGGGGTTGAAAATGGGTAACCCATGGGTTACTGCCCCAATCAGTGCCTTAGGGTTGCCTGCATGCTAATGATGTGTCCTGTAGGAATATGCCAAGCAAGCTGGCCTGAGGTTATGGATGGGCCCCTGGTCCTATGTGGAGCTGGAGGCAGCACGTGGCATCATGTTCTCTTCAGTCAGCAAATCTAAACTGTCAGAGCTGTATGCTCGGTGGGGCGGCATCCCACGTTACGTTGAAGTACGCAGCCAACCCCGAACTGCAGGAGGAGCTTGATGCAGCGGTGGCAACCGTTAATATGGATCTCTTGTGGAAATCCGTAGGCAACATTGAAGCTGCACCGGATGTCAGCCACAAACTGATCCACGTCGAGGTAGGTGTGAGGTCTTCTCTATTTGACCATTAGCAGATGTGGCTCCAGGCAGAGAGTACTCCCAACTGGGAGATGCCAGGGGAGCTGATCCCTCTTACATTCCTCCCCCCCTTGAGGAAACGTCCTCGGGCACCCCTGGGCATATCCCGTAGGATTTAGGTTGTTTGAGATCCCGTAGGGTTGTGTATTAGTTTGTTATTGTGACATTTCGTCAGTCCCCGTCCGAGATTGAGGACTTTGTTTTTACTCAGCTAGTAGACTTCCTGCCCACCTGGGTATCCACCTTTGGGGTGAGAGTATGCTGCATCATGCCTGGTGTGCGATCTGCTCGCAACCAAATTCGATCCGGGGAGTTCCCACCTCCTAGCAATTCGCACCAATGTAACACCAGGCAAAGAGTACTCAGTTGGGAGATGCCAGGGGAGCTGATCCCTCTTACAGCAGATGCCCCATGTGTTGTGACTGGTGACTTTGCACTGGGCAGGCAATATTGGGTGGATGTGCATATCTAAAGGCCCACAGGGGAAAATCCGGTGGAAGAATCACTGGAAATCAGTGCCATTTTTAAAAGCAGGGATGCGCACAGAGTGTGGCAATGGCATGGGTTCTGCACACCATCTGACAAGCCTTTCTCATGTTGCAATGACATGCAGGTGGATGAGAACTGCAGCAGGAAACGCCTAGTCTTCGGCTCCGGGATAATCGGCCAGCGTGTGATGCAGGAGTTGCATCGGCAGGGTACTGCTGAGTTGGCCAAATTCGTTAAGTGGTCCGCTGGCAGACCAGATTTGGCCTCACTTAGAGGCATAATGTTCCAGGGGCTAGCACATGACTTGCTGTGCCGAGGCGGCTCGTTTCGTATGTGCAGCCTTTCTAACCCCGGAGAGCAGGAGGTCAGCCTGGAGGTGCCGGAAATGGAGTTGATGGAGGTGCAGGACAGCGACCTCAAAAAAATCAGCCCCACAACAAAAGGGTCTGGGCTCCTGGTGCCGGTGACGAGGAACTTCGCCGGCGTGGACAGCTTTTTGATTTTGCCTGACAGCAACGGCAAGGCAGCGCGACTGCTCCTTATCCAGGTGACTGTCTCTGCCAATCACCACATTAGCGCGTCAGGGCTGCAAACCTCCATGCGGAAACTGTCCAGGGACCTGAAGGGGCTCAAGCGCGAAATGTACTTTGCAGTGCCGCCCGACCTGTTCAAGCAGTTCAGGAAGCAACAGTTTGAGGGGGCAGCTAAGGACTCCATCGAGATCGATCAGTTTGCCATCGAGATCCCCCTGGTAGGCTTTGCTCCTGGTTCCGAATACAGCAGCCCTGGAAGCTCCAGCAGCAGCAGCAGCAACTTTCCGACTGCTGGCAGAGGTGGCCATGTTGCGCCGTCTGCTTTGAGCAGGTCCCCAACGGGCATCTCAATTCCGAGGCGCAGCCATCTGCCACGGTTGAATCCACGCATGGTCATCCTTCCGAAGCCGCATATCTCGAGCATCTCCTCTGCTGCCCCCAGTTGGCGGTGATGGTGTCGCCACTGCAGCTGTGGCAGCTGCATCCGCTGGTGATGGCTGGTATGGTGGCCGCTGTGGATGTGGGCACAAGGTTGTGAACGTCAGAGGCTTAGAAATCTAGTCGGTGGCTTTGCTTGTCTTGGTCACCATGGCATGATGCCTTATTGGGCCCTCTAGACATGCAGATTCATGTTAACGGTTGGGCTCGCAGCTGGTGTGTACCTGGGGACTGGTCATTGCTGGGCATTTGCTCATTTGCTGGTGTTGCAGGTTGTGTAGATATAGGCACAGATGGGCATGTATCTGTAAGTGCCCTGAGTTTACAAGGAAACAGCTACAGATATGAGTGGTAG